ACCAAGGGTTAGTAGGTTTGTAGCCTGGAGAGTGAATTATTTTGGATTTGTTGCTTTTTTGAAGAACCGCATCTACAACTACAGTTGGCCGGCCCAAGTACCTCAAGTCGAAAGCTGTTGAAGGCCATTTACAAAATTGAGACAACGGGGGGGAGCAGCCAACCCTTTGAATTCCCCCCTTTGCCACCCCAAATGTTGGGACAAATTCAGTGACCTCCAAAAGCGGGCTACGGAGGGCCCTAATTCTGGTTTTTCGAGCCAACATACACGAATATTCCGAATATTTCAACAAACTTATGCTTTCCAGTTTCTAGCCATGATTCTTTGTCAACATCAACCTTTGCCTTGTCCCCACCAGTTGTTTGCTTGCTTGCTTGCTTGCTTGCTTGCTTGCTTGCTTGCTTGCTTGCTTGCTTGCTTGCTTGCTTGCTTGCTTGCTTGCTTGCTTGCTTGCTTCATTGCGTACTTCATGGCTTCATTGCCTGCTGGCTTGGTTGGTTAGTTGGTTAGTTGGTTGTTGGCTAGTTGGTCAGTTGGTTAGTTGGTTAGTTGCTTGCTGGGTTGTTTGCTGGGTTGCTTAGCAAGTTGCTTAGAAACCAAGTTAGACATTAAACATTTGGTTGCTAAGTTAGACATTCATTAGTAACCAAGAAGAAAGAAAGTTAGACAGTTGGCCGCCTCGTTGGTTCTTTTCTTTGAAATACCGTGGGTCAACACCAATGGTACCATTTTGGGGTAGGTGCACCACCCATTTTAGACTATTTTAGTGGGGATTGGGATGTTCACTGGGGGGTAACCGGGGTTCGACCCATGGCCATCAACAGAAACCCTGGACTTCAAAAGGTCTTTTCAGAAACGTTTGCGGCAAGAATACATGTTTTTGACCCATGCCTCCGCCCTGCGGGAGGACCCGCGAGTTCCGCGTGCCGCGCCGGGCGGCTCCGTCGTCTTCGTCGCCTTTTTCGCGGCGCCAGCTGCTGCAAAGCCTCACGGATTTCCTGCCGCTGCTGCCAGGCCACGTTGCCTAATGTTGACCCAGGATGAATAAACCAAACTTACAACCACGCTTGTTCGGGCATCTCTCAAAATCCGGAAGTGGGGAGGGGGGGCTATTCAAATAGTTGGTTTCCTTTGGCGTCCCTTTAAGATTGACCCAGGATCTAAGTAGAACCGGTCCCATTTATTAGGGGGGTGTTCCCTCCAAAAGTGGCCTGAATTCCCACTAAAAGGAATTGGACCCCGCCAATCAAAATCAACCAGGGGTTTATTAATCCGGGGTCAACATTAGGGGTTCCGTACTCCCGGTGTTTCAGGTTTTTCTAGTAGGGTATATTAGGGTTCCCTGGTTTTATCAGGCTTCCTGTTTTTGTTCCTGAAAAAGGCCGCAGGGTTTCCAGGACCTCCTTTTGGCCCAAAGAACCCCTCCCTTCAGCAACCGCTTTACTGGAGTCTTCGATTCGCCAAGTTACGGTAGCTCCTCGGTACCCGCATAGTACGTAAAATTGGATGTTCCTATTGTTTTTTCAGGCTGGTTCCTTGGTTACCTGCTATACGGGTAAATGGAATCACCGGGCTTGGTATTAGGGGGTTATAACGCAACCACTTGCTAGCTTGGCGATTAAAACATCCGCAGATGCCCACGTGGGTTGCCATGGGGTCTGTGTCAAAACAGGATTCCGAAAATATGGGCATGCCATTTTTTAGTTGGTACCCGCTTTGGATGGATTTAAAGGAGAACCGAAAGGAACCCGCCACCCATTTTTCAGGGCCCCTGTTTCTAAGGCAAACCCATACCGGGCATGTCTCCACTGGGCTTCTCTTCAAGTAACAGCATGCCTTGCAAAAACACACCAACCTAGGGTTGAATCCAGCATATCCCAGACACAGTGGGGTGCTTCCTTCTTGCATGTCTTTTTTTCTTTCACTACCCATGGCCACTGGGGGTCCGCGATGTCGACGCAAGATGTGCTTTTTTGCACCCAGCTAAGAACATTTGTTTGTTGGTATTTATGGGGGACTCATCATGGGGTTTCTCAGGTGGTGCGAAATGGACTTCGCAACCATCCACGGGAAGCTGAGTATCCGGTGGGGACTTTCAAGTTGTTTTGACTCCCGGAGCCCACTGTGAGGGTCGATGAGATCTTTTCTACCGCTTGGTTTCCTCTTCGGTTGCTTCCCGTTTGATTCTGTGGTTTCCGAATTCCTGTTTTGTGGGTATTTGTTTATTCTTATTTGGGCTGGTTCTGATGTTGTTTCGTTTGGCGGTCGGTGGACCTTGCAACATGATTTACGGCAACAGGGATGTTTGCCCAAATGGGGATTCACTGGGCAAAGGCGTCTTCGTTAGAGTCTGTTGACGTCCGTTGCACACGTGCATGCGCAGGCGCTTGGTTTGTGTACCTATTCTCCCGGCTGCCCAAGCAATACATCGCTGCCTCGGGCGATCCCTCGGCAAGCTCGGGCACAGGCTCCGATGCAGTCAGCCCCTGTTGTCCCACTTTGAACCGCTTACCAAGTCGATTGAACATCCAAATGGAGTGAGGGACAAGGAGAGAGCACATTGATCTTTAATCAGTGCGCCACCCATTTCTTAGGGAATCTCCAATGGTGTGCTAACTGTATCTATTGGGTTGGTATGCGAACTGAGTTCTACTTACTATACTTAGATGTTTAATTTCCGGTTATGGCCATGTTTGCAAGTAGGACAACTGGGGTTGGTTGATTTGCAAGCACGGGTAGAAGCTGCTTGCTACCCATCATGGTGGTTTCAACATCCCTCATTGGGCCAACTCAACGCGAGTTTCCTTTTGGTGTGATGTTTGCGGGGGCAAATAGATAATGATTTTGAAGGATCGAATGATGTTTATGTGCGCAACCACTTCTTGGGGGACTGCAGGTATTCAAAGCGGAATGCCAGGGCTATCCTTCCCGGATGAATAACTCCGTCCTACAAAAAGGGAGATGTTCTCTCCAAAAGTGGGTGAACCGGCACACACACACACACACCCCAACCAAAATCAAGCATGGGGTATTGAATCTTTGGTTCCCACTACCTGGAGTCTCCTTCGAGCCCTTTATGGGGTCATGACCCCCGTTTGTTGAACCTCATTTTGAACGTGTCGTGGAGACTCCAGGTGGCTGTGGCTCACAAACATGTACCGACATGGCACCTTGGTAAATGGAACCAAAGACTAAAAACTGCGCAACCCCTCTGGATGGACGAAATCCTGCACCACCTAAGAAACCCTAAAATGATATGATCCCCTGTAAATACCAACAAACCATGGTTTCAACCATGTTGTCTTGGGTGATGCGAAATGGATTTCGCGTCCATCCACAGCGCTTGAAGTTTGAGCCACAGCCAGGTCAAATGTCCTGCAAGTCCTAAAATGTTGTTTGTTCACACCTCCCGGTCCCATGCCCAGCCGCTCTCTTTTCAAAATGGAACGTGTCGTGGAGACTCCAGGTAGGGTCTGAACATTCTAGGGGTACTTTCCCCATTCTTTCCAGGAATTCTTCTTTCTAGAAAACCTCCAGAAACCCAGGTTGAAAACGGATTTGGGAAAGAACGATGGTTGAAAAGAACGGGCAAGGAATCAACCCCTAGACTCGCGGCAGAACGGTTTTGAAGATTGAAGTGTATCAAGTGGTAGGGGGACAAAGTCCGAGACTCAGCTGTCTTTTTGCTGAAACAACTATGGAAAAACAACCAAAATCCCCCTAGAAACATAGTCCCTTTCGCGGGCAAAAAAGATCTCGCGGAGCGCGCGAGGCGCTGAGTCCTGGGGCCTTTGGACCAAAGACCCGGGCCCAAGGGGCGTTCGTCTCAGCAGCTACCCGCAGCTCGGATGCGTCCGGTGGCAGCGGTCCTTAGGAAAAACGGAGTGGATGTCTTCCATTTGTTAAAGAATATGTTTTAATTTCCCTTCTTGTTTTTGTTGTCGAATATGTTTTTTTCCCCACCCGACAGGAAGGGGTTGTTAGATTTTATGTTGGAATCCGCGTTTGCGATGCTTCTACACCACGCCCCCACCCAGGATCCGGCTAGAGCAGCTTGCCAGTGGATCCCGCCGTGAGTATCCTGCCAGAGCTGCTCGCCAGTGGATCTCGCCCAGTATCCCGCCAGAGCTTCTCGCCAGTCAATCCCGCCGAGTGGCGGGATCCCGCCAGAGCGGCTCGCCAGTGGATATCGCCGAGTATCCTGCCAGAGCGGCTCGCCAGTGGATCCCGCCGAGTATCCCGCCAGAGCAGCTGGCCAGTGGACCCGCCGAGTATCCCGCCAGAGCTGCTCGCCAGTGGATCCCGCTGAGTATCCCACCAGAGCAGCCCGCCAGTGAATCCCGCTGAGTATCCCAGAGGAGCTGGCGAGTGGATCCCGCCAAGTATCCCGCCAGAGTAGCTTGCCAGTGGATCTCGCCGAGTGTCCCGCTGAGCCCAGAGTGGCTCGCCAGTGGATCCCGCCGAGTATCCCGCCAGAGTAGCTCGCCAGTGGATCCCGCCGAGCATCCTGCTGAGTATCCTTTGCCGGATCCTGCCGAGTATCCGGCCAGTATCGAGCCGGAGCGGCTCGCAAGTACTCGCCAGTGGATCCCGCCAGAATCCCGCCAGAGTTCGCCAGTCTGGTTTGGCGCGCAGTTGGGTTCATGTTGGTGCCTTCGTGTTTTGAGTGTACCCTGAGGCTCGGAAAGGGCGATGCTTTTGTGTTGCTTTGGGTTGTGAATAAGCAACTTCGTTTAATCCCCCGAAGGGGCTTGGCTGTTTTCACGGAACCGATGTTTGAGTTCTCGAGATCGGCTCGCAGACAAGTGGAGTTTGACACACCGACAGGTGGATAAGGCTCTCAATGCAAAGCTTGTGAGCAGTCATAGGCCCCAAGCCACTCGAAAACCATGCTTGAATTCACAACTGTGTCCACGGTCGTAAGCTCGTGAGTGTGGAGGGTGGGGATTGCTCGAAGCGAAGTAATTCTTTTCTTTGAAAAGGAATCGGTTACTACTGGAAGTAGTTTTTTTTTCTTCAGGGGGCTTAAGCAAATCGAAGATGTGGTTTAGCCGATCCACCACTGTAGAATATTGAAATTAGTACTGAAACATTGCAAACATACAAAGGACGGACAGGGGGAAGAACCGGCGAAATCCGCGAAAAGCGCATCCAAACCGTTTTGTATCTGCTTCACTTCTGTCCTGGGTTTGATACTTTTTGGGTTTGCACCACTTGAGTTGTCAACAACGAGTTTTGTTATTTGTTTGTGTGCAATCAACTCGAGTGAGACTTTAATGTTCCTCACTTGTAGAGGTTCCGAACTGAATGTGCAGGGGGCTTTCATGTTTAAGGCGAAACACAAATGTTCAACTCTGTTTCAAAAAAAGGCTTTTGCTTGGCTTATCGCCAAACAGCCCACGTCTTCCCTCACGTCTCGAGGCGGCTGAAGGAGACCAAGCAAGCGCCAGCCGGCTGGACTTTCGACGAGGCTCGGCTCGTCGCATCGGCAGGACCAAAGGGACCGAGCTCACCATCCAAACCGGGGTAATGTTTTCCCCGGATTCAGCAGAACACGGCCTTTTTCAGGGAGAACCCTGACCAAAAAAAACAAAAACAGGAAGCCTGATAACATCAGGGAACCCTACTATACCCTAATAGAAAAGCCTGAAACACCGGGAGAGCCCTACGGAAGCCCCTAATATTGACCCCGGAGTAGTAAACCCCTGGTTGACTTTGATTGTGGGGGGGGTCCAATTCCTTTTTAGTGGAGATTCATAGCACTTTTGGAGGGAACACCCCCCTAATAATGGGACGGCTTGGTTTGCTCGCAAAGCGAATCGACCTGAAATGACCTTTTGGTTTCCCCTCGGCACATTGTTTAGTCTTGCCCCCAACAGGCTACCCTCCTGCCCACCAACATGGAACTCATCAGAGGGTACCTTTTAAGGGAAACTAGTCTTCCAGGACCACTCAGTCAGGTTCCATGTTCGTGGACAGGAGGGTAACCTTTTACTTCTGGGTCCAAACAGGGCAACTAGTTTATGGAAACCCTTTCCAAGACAAAGGGAAGGACAAAGAAGGTACCTTTGGGCTGGGAGAAACAACCGTGCCACCGTGTTTGCGAATCTGATTGTTTCTTTTCTTGAGGGCACTTGTTTAAAAGGTTTTGCTCCAAAAGGACAAGCGAAGCACGTTCATTTGGAGGATACCCCTTCACAGCAGTGGCCGCATACCGAAAAGAACCCAGCAGCCTCTTTCTCTCAGATCTGTCACCGACGTGCGAGCCAAAATGTGTGCCCTTTTTGGACGTCCAGCCCACGTATGTAGGTTAGAAGAACATGAGCGGGGCAAAACGTGGAGCAAAGCAAACAAACACAAAACCATGAAAATCCAACAAGAGAAACACACAATGCAAAAACACAAAAGACAAACGCAGGGGTTGCTTGACTTAGAGGCAGGTCTGGAACCTTTGGAGTCTGTGTTACGTTCTTGTGGTTGACTAAATCTGAACTTTCGGATCAGACCACTTTTCGGTGTTTTGCTTCAGAGTTGGTTGCCTTGCCTCTTTAGCCTCAGGTTACGCGTTGGGGAGTTGGGGGCGGTGAAAAGAAAGCGGCCGTTCCTTAGGTTTCCCTTCTCGGGACCTCAAGTGGCAATTTGGAATCCAGCAGTACTTGACTGCTATTGGGCAACGGATCTTTAGACTTTAACTTTTTGGTTGAAATCAAGGCGTTTTCCGTACTAAACCCCCAAAAGTTTAAAAAAAAAAAAAAAAAACGTTTTGCAGGGGGGTCGTTGCAGCAACCAAGAGTACATTCATCAACTTTTGAGTTGGGGAAATCCAGCGACTGAAGATTTCAGGGGGGCATGTTGAAAGGGTCGAACGCATAGGTATCCTTTTTAGTTTGGCGAAAGAGTCATGGCACCGTGTCGTGGAGTTCCGCGATTTTGACTCATACCCATTCTTTGTGGCTGTTTGGTTGGATCTTTGGACTTTGACTGTTTGTTTGGATTTTCCACAGTGGACCCGCAACAAGTGAAAACCCCTTTGCAGAGAGGTGAGCAGCAACCAAGCCTTTATGTCGGTACTGATGGACAAATTGTTCGCACCACAGTTCAGAAGCCCTGGTTTCTGATGCGATTCACCTGCAAAAAGCGTAACACAAGTTATGATGTTAACCATGGTTTCATTAACCGGGATGCAAACTTCGATTTCGCAACCATCCACCGTGGTGCCATGTTTAAGGGGTCAGAGGGAGACTCCACTTCCATTTGCTTCAGGATATGTATTGACTTTTCCTTGTAGGTGTTAAGTCGGGAATCCATCAATCAATGCGGGAAATATTTGTTGTGTTTTTTGCCAAGGGGATCAAGCAAATGAAAATCCAGGTAAGCAGCTTGAAGATCTGAAGTCTGAAGCGAGTGTGTTTTGCAGGCCGACTGGTGGCTGGAAGAGCACGGCCTCATTATGGAGCAGCCGGAGCCGTTGCCGCCAGGCGAAAGGGCGAAATCTGCCAA